GTGATACAGATATTCTGTTCTGTACTCGGAAAACTCGGGAATAGGTATCATAATCTTATTTTACTAAAACAAGAGACCCGGGTAATGGTCAAGACTGGTAAAGGCATAGCACTTTCACTGTCAGTGCGGGGGTTCAAATTCCCCTTAGATTAAAATAGATTAATCATATATAAGCGATTAGCACAAATTAATGTAGCCTTTATATAAGTTATGTTAAACAATATAAGTTATATCTATTCCATCTATACAATGCCTTCCCTGTTTATTATTAATAATTGCATTGTTAATATAAGTAATTATATTAGGTGGGTATAGTTCAGGCTATATGTGGCACATAATTCCATACCCTAGTTCAATACTACTATCATTATATAGCTATCCTTATTCCTTTCAAAGTCTACCTAGGTAGCTCAGTTATTTCAATTAGTTAAAGAAATGCATTATTTTTTAACAGAACTATTGTAGAACACAATAGTTTTAGATTCTTGTATTTCCTTTTTGCTTTATAGTAATGGAGATTAATGATAGTTCTATATTGAATAACACAATCGTAAGGAAATGAGAAACATATTAAAATTTGGTGTTAGTTTTAATTTTTAAATTATGAGCGAAAAGTCATAGTTAAATATATCACAATTAGAAAATAGTGCCAATTTTCTTTTTAAATATATAAGATTCAATTATAAAACCATGATAGCTTGCTGGTATGGTATAGCCTGTTAGATTTACATACATATATTTCTTCATTGAAGTAATTCATATATTGAAAACCATAAGACCATATCTTGTCTCAGTTAAATTTAAGTATAACTGTATGTTACTAAAGAATATTTCTTAAGGAGGAAACAGGTTAAGACACATATCGTGTTAGATTATTTCGAAACAACAATGGATTTTAATTAAGGAGAATTTGTTGTTTGTTAGATAATACCTTCAAAATTTAGTTAACTATAAAAATTTATAACGTAGTTCACGGGCGAATGGGCCACCGCAGAACATCACGTTAAATGCTGTTTTTGACAATCTTGTACCTCAACTATCAGGACCCGTTTAGATGGTAATCTTTAAGGTCATATATGGTTTAGTACCCAAGTGAAATTTAGGAGATTCTGGGGTGAAAATACACGATATATATATTTCTAGCTTATATGGCTAAATTACGACGTAATTTATGGTATTATTATTATGCGAATCTTAGAATCTTTTGAAATCCATATATATTATAGAGAGAGCCTACCTTTAGTAGTATACTTATGCTAGACTAAAGTTGTAGTTGTTGAGATATAAGATTGTCAAAATCAACATTTAATATGGTGTTCTGCGGTGGCCCACTCCGCCTGTGAATTACGTTATATCACTTGTGATTACTCATTCCAGGTTTTAGATTTAAAGGAGCAAAAAATTAATATATACAGATAGTCACATAATCAATCTTTCGGATTTAAGAGCCGAAATAGGAACATCTGAGCTACGAACCTAGATCTCTGCAAACTCGAGATTACTCAACTACAGTTAGACCTGGCTTTGAACCGCCCATAGGTTCCAAATCTCAGAACCTGAACCTAACCTCTTGAGGTTAGGTTCCAAACTTTTTAACCTGGACCTAACCTTAACCTCAAGGAGGGTCGTTGAGGTTCAACCTCATGAACCTACATGAACCTGCATATGCATAATTTTTTGACGCTTTTCCTCTTTTGGCTGGATAAAAGTGATGATTCATCTCGGATTTTTACAGCTGTTTTGTTGACCTGCCGGCGTTCGTCTGATTACTCTGTCAACGTGGTGAATTATGAGGAAATAATTGTTCAGAAGTAAACAGAAGACAAAGCCACTGATAAATTACAAGTAATATTCGATGATATCGACGTGGTAGGTGGTCAGTAGTGGTCATCGGCGAAATTGCATGTAAAGATGCAGATATATATATTTTGAACACTGTAACCCATGTGTATCTTGACCAGCAGAACTACATGTTATCGAGAAAACCACGAAAATTTAGATGAAATCCCCTCATTTTTATACAAAACAAATCGTTATGCCTCCCTCTATGAACTTGTCTCGAAGGATTTAGGTCAAATTATCTACATCTGTCGTGAATCCAGTTCAAAGATTCTCATCGTTAGACTTAGCCATTTAAACAAGACGATTTTCCTAAGTTAAAGTTAACCTCCAGGTTCTATGCGGGTAAGTCAGGTTAAGTTCTAGGTTCTGTACGGATAGATGAGGTTAACTTTCAGGTTCTATGCGGGTAAGCGAGGTTCTCTTCTAAAATGATCCACTATAATAGCCAATCAGACACAGGTCGGTAGATATAAAAGACGATAGATCAATTCTAGCACGCAGAACAGGGTCAAACGGATCCCCCAAGAATATCGCGCATCTTTTCGAAAGAACGAATAAGTAAGATTCTTATTCTCTTCCTCCTCAGTAATCATACCTTCTACTGGTTTACTAAATCTATCATGTCTCAGCCCTTCGGCGCCTACACGTCGTCTAGCTTCGATACCACGGACGGTTTACCATTAGACGCGCTCCAATACCTTCTCCCCGACGATTCCATATCCCAGCGCGACAGCCAGAGCCAACTACTATCCGAAAGCCAGCTTGATTCAGTTCCAGACCTTCCAGACTATCGATCTTGCGTGGCTTATCAGGCCCCAAGCACCCTACCGCGAATCAAGCCCGATCGTATTAACGAATTCATTGTTTGCGCGCCAGAAATGACCGCGGAATTCGTTAAGTGGTGGCTTGATACTGGCTATGGCAAGTCGAAGCGGATCAACTGGGATGGGAACCTAACAAGCCGTCGAGCACAGTGCTGGAAAGGGTTCCAACAAGTTGCAAATGCCAAAGATGGCAAGCCAGGCGTTATGTGTAATAAGTGCTGCACAGTTCTCACGCATCCAGCTACAAATCATACTGGAACTTCATCGATGCAGAAACATCTCGATGGGCCAAGGTGCCGAAAGCAGCTACCGAAGAAAGGTGCTAGTAGTATCCGACAACTACTTAGTGACGCGGTATGTTCTACAGGGTCTGAATCCTATATTGGTACTAACGATGAACTCACTATCCTATAGGCCGGGAAAAGACCAGCGCCTACCTTTACACAACAAGTATGGGAGCAGATGCTTCTTGATCTAATCACTACATCGAATTTACCCTTTCTGTTTGTCGAGCATCAAAAATTCCGTGACCTCTTTTCCTTCGCACGGCTAGCACCCGAACCACCTAGCTTTCCGTCAAGAAAGGTGATTCGCGAGCGCCTCCGGGGTTTCGTGCTACAGTATCAACAGGAGACACTACAAACGCTTCCACCTGGTGCAAAGCTATCACTCGCACTGGACTGTTGGACTTCACCATTCCAGGACGCGTTCATGGCTATCACAGGATACTTCCTAGACAAGGAATGGGAGTATCGCGAGGTCCTCCTTGGGTTTGAGCCACTTTCTGGAACTCATTCTGGCGTAAATCTTGGCAAAATTGTTCTCCAGATTCTACAGAATCATCAAATCACTGATCGTGTACTGGCGGTAACAACTGATAATGCGTCTAATAACAAGACGCTTATCACTGCGATTAATAATTCAATCCATGAACTACAGCTAAAGACGGATTCAACGATTATTCAAGTGCCCTGTCTTGCTCATGTCATCCAGTTAAGTCTGGTTGAATTACTTGGTAAAATAAAGGCCTCGCCAAAAAATGACAACACTGAATTGGAATGGTCCGAGGATCGTGTTAGATCACTGCGTGCGCGCCAGCAGAAGCGAGATATCACCGATACCCTGAACAAGGTAGGCTTCTCTTGAATAACATTCTCTATATTTAATACGCTAACTATTATGACAGGTTCGAGGCCTTGCGGTTTTCATTAATGGAAGTCCTCAACGCAAAGAAGCATTTCTGAAACTTGAGTCCAATGGGCAAAAACTTATTCCAATCCAAGATGTTTGTACGCGGTGGAATTCAACGTTTCTTATGCTCCGCCGGGCTAAAAGGCTTTCTACCACCTTTGACGAGTACTGTTCGCTCTATCACCAACCCTATTTTGCATTAAATGCGGAGGGGTGGCGGCAGATTGACTATCTACTTCATATACTCCAGCCCTTTTTCACATACAGCACACTAGTCTGCCAGACTAATGACTCGAGTATTCACCTTATCTTTAGTATTTACAACAGGCTCTTTGATCATCTCGAAAGATCGATGCATCAGCTTCGTCGAAAGAGAGTTGCCTGGAAACAGCTTATGCTTTCCTCCCTTGAGGCTGCAAAAGATAAACTGTCAAAGTACTATAGTATGACGGACCTTGTTGAAGGTGATCTCTATGCTATTGGAACGATCCTAGATCCGTCTAATAAAATGGAGTTCTTTTCAACAAGTGATTGGGCCCCAGATGACACAGGAAAAGACTACACAAAGGAATATCGTCAGAGCCTCCAGTCTCTTTTCGAGAAATACCGCCTACGTACACCATCAAATATATCACTATCGGATGGTATATCGTTCCCAGCCAAATCAGCGCTCGAAAGGATTCTTAAGGACAATTCCTTACAGCGATCAACCAGTCCATATCAGGATGAGCTTACCAAGTACCTCCAGAGTGGTAAGTGAGTGAGCCGCCGATATAAATCATAATACTAATGTTCTTAGCCACCGTCAATGAATCCGCTCAGGTCTTCTGGAGAAACCACGAGAGAGAGTTCCCTATTCTTGCAAGCATTACTCGTGATGTGATGTCCATCCCAGCGACTGGTGCCGGTGTTGAGCGTCTTTTCAACTCTGCCCGGGACATTTGCCACTATCGCCGGGGGTCGTTGAGCCCAGAGACTATCCGCGATATCATGTTATACATGTGTACAACAAGGTTTGATACCAAGGAGGAGCAGCGACAGGTTCTCCAAGAGTATCTTTCAGAGCAAGAGATCGCAGCTTCGTCCGAAGAACTTCATATTGGAACACATTGTGCCGAGGCTATCAGTGACACTGAGGAAGACATGGAGATGCACCTTCATACCCCGGCCATAGCACCACTCTCAGCCGTTGCCGCTGGAAAGCGGCCGGCTATCAATTCTGAAGACGAGGAAGACTCTGATGCCGATGACATTACGGATCCAGAAGAGACCTCAGCATTACCATTACCTGATACGCAGCAGCGTGTATCAGGTAGAATGCGGAAGAGGTCGAGACTCTTGGATGGATATATAGTTTAAGTTTTAACAGGTAAAGTCTAAGAAATCTATGTTCTAGATATAATGTGTGAATTACTGATATCTAAAAGCCCTATCGAAGATAAAGCTATAACATGCAATATAAGACATACAGTATGCTTCTGTAAGGCTATACAGTAATCAAATTTTGGTTTGCAGTTACAATAGAATACAGCCTGTTTCGACATATTTTATGCAACTAAGCCCGAGTCACGTTTTTTAGGTGTTTGTCATGTTTGTTTAACCTGAGGTTCACCCGCGGGTGAACCTGATGAGGTTCGTTCCTCGGTTGGAACCTCCCTCAGGTTCGAAAACCCAGAACCTGACCCGCCCAAATGGAGGTTCAGGTTAGGTTCTTCAGGTTCACCCGCGGGTAAGTGCCAGGTCTAGCCCGCCAAGAACCCATAAACCCATAGGTTACCCGCTACACTTAATACATTCCCTTCAAGTTGGTCCCGAAGTACTGACGGCCATCGAAAAAAGCTTGTACGGTATATAGAAGGCTTTGTAGAACACTATAACTTAATAAGCGTATTAACTGACGGCCGTCAAAAGTACTAGTGCGATTGCTTATGGTCTATAGCACCCTTTTTGTGACGGCCGTCAGAACTTTGATGCCTTTGTTATAAATATCCACTGAGTTCACTGCACGTCTCATATATATATTTCCTATCTACAGAGCAGTATTCCAACAAGCATTTTTTTCACTACCACAATTATATAGAAAAACGCCGAGAGCAATGTCTATAGCATTACCACGAGTCCACGACTTACTATTCTGAAAACAAGGCAATTTCCTGAAATTTCACAAAAGAAAGAGAGGCTTTCGGGGAAGAACAGCAGACGTGACTGGAACAGAGGTAAATAACCGTAATTTAATTGACTTAATCAGCAGCTTTATCCATCTTGGCACGGCCTATTTTAGGATAGTTATGCTGCAACGGGTTCTTGGCGGGTAACCCGCGGGTACCCGCCAAGAACCCGTAAACCCGTGGGTTTGGGTTTGGGTTTTGGGTCCATACCCGACCCATGGGTATGGTTCCTGAAGTCGTACCCAAACCCGACCCAAAGCGAGGTCTAAGCAGATGATATCACCGTCGCCCACGCCGTTCGTTCGTTAGTCTTGTTGGGTAGAAAAGAAGCTTTTGATATGTGATGGGTCGAAGCAAGTCTTGATTCAAACTAGCTAAGCCGTCATGCTGTCTTTCAAAAGCTTAAGGAAAAGAAGATCTACGTGGCCGTGCAGCGGTGTAAATATGCACAGTCACGTGGTTAGCACGTGATGTATACGGGCCCTGGCCCGTTACAGTTTTTAGTCATTTAAGTTTGTTCATATCTATGCTATTTTTAACGGGAAACAATTTAGTCATGTTAGTTCATATTTATTATAAAACTTCCGAATCACTAGAATAGCAGCAAATCAAAGTTCTTTATCAGCTCTATTAATTAATAGAGCAGGTGATTGTTTATTCAATGTAGGCATGTTTGCTACTTTATGATCCTTTGAAAATATAGATTTTAGTACGGTATTAGCACCATATTATGATAATGAAATTATAATTACAATTATATATATATATGTTCATTAAAAGGTGCTAAAGCTAAAATTTTCAAGTTAGTTTACATAGTTGACTACCTCAAGCTATAGAAAGTCCTACACTAGCATCAGCTTTAATACATACAGCTACTACGGCTACAGGAAGAGTATATTTAGTAGTGAGATCATCACCATTGATTGAATATAGTCCAGCTGTAATAGTTTTAAACGCTTATGATTAGGTCCAATAACTAAAGTATTCAATATTTTTATTCATAAATTATCCTAACAAGATATAACGTATTCGATAAGCGAGCTGGCCACCCCATGCGAGCTGGCCACCCCATGCGAGCTGGCCACCCCATCAAAAACGCGCCGCGTAATTAGACTGTCTCTATTCAACCACCTACCATGCCGCCAATTCGCTCTCAATGCTCTCAAAAACGTGTAGAGCAAGAGGGTAGGATCTTATTACTATTGAAGCTATTCAGAAACAAGAATTTAGCTCTGTACGTAGAGCTGCAGCGGTTTTTGATGTCCCCCGCTCCACGCTCTCGGCGCGTCTTAATGGCATCACCTATGGCGCCGAAACTCGCGCCAACAGCCATAAATTGACTGTTTTCGAGGAGGAATCGCTTTATAATTGGATCCTCTCACTCGACGATCGTGGAGCTGCTCCTCGGCCTCGTACAGTACGAGAAGCAGCTGATTTACTACTTAAAGCGCGCGGGTCAACTCCACCTATTACTGTCGGCGAAAAATGGGTCGAAAACTTCGTTAAACGGCACCCTGACCTCTCTACTCGATTCTCGCGATCGTACGACTACCGGCGGGCTCAATGCGAGGATGAAAAGGCGATTTTAATGTGGTTTAACTTCGTGAAAGCTACGATCGAAAAGTACGGCATTGTCGGCGACGATATCTACAATTTCGACGAAACTGGCTTCGCCCTCGGCCTTACGGCTACTGCGAAGATTATTACAAGGAGAACGTACGGTCGGAGAGCCGTTTTGCAACCTGGAAACCGCGAATGGGTGACCTCAATTGAAGCTATTAGTGCGGGAGGGTGGGTGCTTCCGCCATGCGTCATTTTCAAAGGCAAGGTCCTTATGGAGGCATGGTTCAAGGATACCAACCTCCCATTAGACTGGCGCTTCGAATTGAGTAATAATGGATGGACAACCGATGAAATAGGTCTTAACTGGCTCCAAAAGCTTTTTATTCCATCGACTACAAGCCGGACGAAGGGGAGGTATCGTCTTCTTATCCTCGACGGTCATGGCAGCCATCTTACGCCTCAATTTGACTCGATTTGCTCTCAAAACGATATTATACCAATCTGTATGCCGTCGCATTCCTCTCACCTCCTACAACCTCTCGATATCGGCTGTTTTGGGGTACTAAAACGGGCGTACGGGGAGCTAGTAGACTCGCAAATGAAGCTTTGCATTAGTCGTATCGATAAATGCGACTTCCTTACAGCTTATCCTCGGGCCCGGAGAGAGGCATTTAAGCCGGAAACTATTCTTAATAGCTTCGCAGCTGCTGGCATCGCTCCTTTTGATCCGAATCGCGTGATTTCGAAGCTAAATATACGCCTTATTACTCCTCCACCTCCTCCGAGTCGAGGAAGCGATTCTAGCCGCAATTTTACGCCGAAAACCCCGTATACAGTGAAGGGCGTACGCCGGCAAGCTTCCTCTATTAAGAAAATGCTACAAGAGGACCCCTCGCGCGCCGAAAAAGCCTTTGAGCAGATCGTGAAAGGCTGCCATCTAGCTATACATGGCGCTACGATTATGCGCCAGGAAAACCGCGAATTACGTGCCGCCAATGCGAAAACAACCCAGAAAAGGAAGCGTACGAGGAAGCGAATAGCTCATAAAGGTGGAATATCGGTTCTAGAGGCTATGTCAATAGTTTCAGGACCGGAAATAGTTCATGAAGCTAGCTCAGGTCGAGATGGAGCTGTATCGCCGACGCCGAATCGGACCAATAAGAGGAGACCACAACGATGCAGCCTCTGTAAAAACCTAGGACATAGGAGAAATAGGTGCCCGGAGATGTCTGAATAGCTTCAATTTTACTGAATTTATGTTGTGGTTGAAAAATTCAATAATAATGGTAGATTTAATAGGTGGGTGGCCAGCTCGCATGGGGTGGTCAGCTCGCTTATCGAATACGTTGAGATATTTATAATAAAGCTTTGTTTCACTCAATCAATTATGCTTTTGATAAAGCATAATTATTCTCAGGTGCTGGATCAGTTCTAGATGCTGTACCAGAAATTCAAGATTTTAGAAAATACAGTGGTTTGAGAGAATTCTTACCTCTGACATACTCAGTTATATTAACGTATTTCACAAGCGTGCCGCCATCTCCAAAAGTGTTCGATTGCTTCAAAAATGCTTTGCGCTACTATAAATGCTCATCGATACACATCCACTAGCAGTGGGAATTAAGTTTAATTGTCGTGGTTGAAACATGAAGCTGCAATCTAACGCATTTACTATGTGTTTTGGGGATTGGCGGCTCGCATGTGAATTACGTTAGCTTCAATAAGGTTGATAGTTGTACCTTTCATGGCAGGACACAGGACTTTATTCTAAACATTTTACATGGGAATTTTTCTACGGTCAATTCTACTTAGCTAGTACTATGGTTTACTATATAGCTATTATAGGTGCTATGTTTACTTTATTAAATGATAACTTATCATCTAATAAATGACATGTACTATTATTTTGTTTTACCTAGTTATATTTCTTTTTAATCAGATATGCGCTCATAATGAAGTTTATGCTCAATACTATTGAGATTCATGGCGCATCCAGGCTAGATGCCTGACATATAAGGCATGAATCTAGTGATCAGCATTAGACCTACCAAGCAGAGTATGGATCAGGAGAAGGGTTCTCATTTATATAGGGTCTTTCACTTATGGAGAGAAAGATCAGATTTAAACAATCTCGTTGGCCTTGATATTGATGCGTCCCAATTCAGTAGACATCCAATTTCAACAAATACTATCTAATGCTCTGCCTTTAAGACGTGATACAGATATTCTGTTCTGTACTCGGAAAACTCGGGAATAGGTATCATAATCTTATTTTACTAAAACAAGAGACCCGGGTAATGGTCAAGACTGGTAAAGGCATAGCACTTTCACTGTCAGTGCGGGGGTTCAAATTCCCCTTAGATTAAAATAGATTAATCATATATAAGCGATTAGCACAAATTAATGTAGCCTTTATATAAGTTATGTTAAACAATATAAGTTATATCTATTCCATCTATACAATGCCTTCCCTGTTTATTATTAATAATTGCATTGTTAATATAAGTAATTATATTAGGTGGGTATAGTTCAGGCTATATGTGGCACATAATTCCATACCCTAGTTCAATACTACTATCATTATATAGCTATCCTTATTCCTTTCAAAGTCTACCTAGGTAGCTCAGTTATTTCAATTAGTTAAAGAAA